AGATTTTTTCCAGTAACCTTTAACTGTTTTAGAATGTTACTTCAAGGAAAAACACGTGCGTGGTTGCAGGATTAAATGAAGACAGAAAAAGATGTAATGTAGGCCTAGTGTGTGGACGCAGGGCATGGAGGACAGTGGCACTAGCTAGCAGAGCTCAGTAGACGAGTGTGTTGTGTTGTGTGTGAGAGAGAGGGAGTGAGAAAGAGAGAGAGAGCTAGAGCCATGACGGTGGAGGGTTGGGGGGACGAGGGTTGGCCGACACGTCACTCTTGCGCTGTGCTCTGCCGCACTATTTTCTATATCTCTGTTGCGCGACCAATGTCTGTCTGTCTGTTCGATTCTAAAACGAGAAGGGGTGTGGATGCCTCTTAAAGTATTACATCAGTGGTTATACCAATTAATTAGTTTTTTTTTTTTTTTTTTTTTTGTGATTAAACTATATTCTCCTTTCCTAAGTCCCTACCATTATGTCTGAACCCATCTGTCTTCTCTTCAAAAAAACATACCTTATTAAAACAGTACTGGGGGACCGAACCTTGCTAGCTTGTAGTTAATTATTTGGTTTTAAAATAGCTAAAATAAAACAATATTGTAACAAACAGTTTAAATTTCTCTACAAAAAACATTTTTATTACAAACATAGACAGACATTTGATCGCTGAAATAATAACAACTCTGTAATATAAAAGCATGCAATTAAACAAAAACAAGATACATTTTTATTATCTTACTTAAGTTGAAGTGCTACTTGCACAGAATTTTCTCCCCTCTAGTCATTGAAACCCGATGTTGGACTTTTACTCTCACTAAAGACAGAATAAAAATATGATATTAAAATCATATTAGTTTCAAAATAGCTTAAGTGACAACCATTTTTCGCCTTTTAGCGAATTTCCTATATAGGGAATACGATATTGCCGTAGTACTCATGGTAAGACCTGGACCCGGGACCGATTTTTTTTTTCGTTTTGAGGTCCCTAGAGGCCAAAAACACCATCCGTTCAAATTCATATCTATAAGTATAAAAGAGGATGTTTGTATATATATATATATATTTGTTTGTTTGGCAGTGATAAACTCAGACACCGCTGAACCGATTGCCACGAAACTTGGTACATACGTGTAGAATTTCATGGAATAGGTTTATACACCATCAATTTCGTGATCCGTCCAATCGGCTCCGGCCCAGTGGCTCAGGAGTTTCCCATGTTAACCTTATGAGAAATGGAATTAATGAATCTTAACAGCTGTTTCAATTAAACAAGTTGGTTCTGTTCTATGATGTTCAATACCATTAAAGTTACAAGGATTACCAACAGGGTGCAGCACTATTATTTCTTTTACATTTATGACAACAGCTAATTTGCAACCAAAAGGTGAGTGAGCGTAGCGAACGAACTTCAACCTGGAGGCGAGTTAGCGTAGCGAACGAGCTAACCTGAAGGCAAGTGAGCGTAGTGAACGAGCTAACCTGAAGGCAAGTGAGCGCAGCGAACGAGCTCCAACCTAAAGGTGAGTGAGCGTAGGGAACGAGCTCCAACCTAAAGGTGAGTGAGCGTAGCGAACGAACTTCAACCAAGACGTGATTGAGCCATGCGAACAAGATCATCTTGAAAATTAAGAAGTTAAACGGGGCAAAGCCCGCGGGTTACAGCTAGTATATATATATGTGTCCGTTAGCGCGATAACTCGAGCAAAAACTATCCGATTTTGATGAAATTTGGTACAAAGGTGTAAACTTACGTTTATTCGAACGAATTCGCGAACCAGCATGATCGGACCATGGGAACGGGGGTTTATGAGGGGTTTTATGGGGTAAAAATGGGTTTTTCCCACTTTTGACTCAAAAAACATAAAATTTTGCAATTTCTTTCCAAACTATTTTGTAGAGCTTAAAAAAAAATAATTTAGTATATTGAAGCGTTATAATGCACCTAATGGTTATGGAGAAAATTTCAAAAAATTGTAAATTTAAAATTCCCATGTTATTCTTATGGAGAATAAGTAAACTGTTGTAGTTTGCTTGTTTATTAAATTTTTTTTCCCAAATTTGGAAAATGTTTTTATTTCTTACTAACTATTAACATTTTACATAAAAAACACTTTTACCCTCCCTGCTGCAGCAAACCTAAGTATATGTTAAACTGATTCTATTTAAATAGGGAATTAAATGTGATATTTTTAAGGAGACATTTTAGTGTAAATCCAATCAGGCAAATGGAAATTCGCTTAGTCTGCAGGTTTGCTGCGGCGGGGGTATTTGATAATACTACTTCTAAAGAAAGTGAAATTCTGTCTGTTTCAAGATTGGCTACATCGCTCGAGTGTGTCTGAGCAAGAATTCCATAGCAAAATCTAAGAACTTGAGAAACTCATGTCAAGCTGATGTCTTAGTTGAAGAAGATGAGTCTTATGAAATGAACTTGATAACTTAAAAAAACTCATATATGTTTAATTTAAAGGTGAACCTTGGGCTAATTAATAGCCCATACAGCTAATGGCAACTAAAGGACCTACAGTTGATAGTGGAATCCGAACCACATTTTTCCCCTTGTAATTTACGAATTGGTCTAATTATCAGGATAGTACTGCGGATAGTCGTAGTACTCACTAGTGCGGACGTTAATCCACACCAGGGAGCATCGCATCCACAGTGCATCCCTATAAATATCCACAATTCGTGACCTCCTAGTAGCTGGATTACAGGACGACGCCACTCGTCCCGAATCTAGGATTGAACAAATCCATTCACAAAACGAAAGTGGAGCTTAGTACTTATACTGGGGAGGTTTTTGAGCCTGTTGGATATGTATTTGTGAAATGCACGTACAAAAATCATGATTTCATTGGTAAACTATACGTGATCAACAGGAATATCAGTCCTATCTTTGGACGTGATTGGATAAGGGAAGTTAAACTAGATTGGCCTGACCTTGGGAGTATTACAAGTTCTCTGATGCATGCAGATAGACTCGATAGACTGATTGAGAATTACAAGGATGTATTTGATCAAAATATTGGTGTTATTCCTGAGGTCAGAAGGTCATATACAACTACTTGAAGATGCCAAACCAGTTTACATGAAACCTTGTTTAGTGCCATATTCTTTAAGACCTAAAGTTCAAGAAGAACTGGACAGATTGGAAAAAATAAGAATCAACTCAAAGGTCAAACAAAGTGATAGGGGAACTCCAATCGTTCCAGTCGTTAAACCCAGCGGCAAGGCCGGAATCTGTGCAGATTTCAAATTGACTTTAAATAAACAAATTAAGGACATCAAATACCCAATTCCACGTATTGAGGACATTTTTGCAAAAATAAGATTTGGTGGTTTGTAAGTACTTTTGTACACTAGACATCAGTAACGCACAAAATCAGTTACACATCAAAATGGACCAAGAAAGTGCGCTACTTCAAACTATCAGTACACATAAAGGGCAGTATAAGGTAAAACCAGTCATATTCAGAATTAAAACTGCTTCAGCCCTAAGGCAAGGGTTTATGGACAAAATATTCTATGGAATTTATGGCATTCAGTGTTTTTTTAATGTCATTTGTAGCCGAGGCGCGAGAAATAAGACTACTATATGTAGCCGGGGGGAATATATGGAGGTTCTGGGATGCAATGGGGTAATGGTGGGAATTTGGGAAATCAGGAGGACAGAGTAATGCTAATAGGGTTGGAATAGCTGTGTCTGGACCAAACTTAGCTTAAGTATACTGAATCTGCTACCAATAAAATTAGGAAGATTGCTGGGGTCCAGAGGGACGGAGATCTTTACCCAGATCAGAACACTTACCTAGCCAGCTTTGATTTACACTAATTTAACTAACTATTTAACTGTAGACCTATCCTTCCAACTATGAACTGAACATGAATAATTACAAAAGTACATGTTTTGCATATGGGTGCTAATTGCTGATTCAGAGTGCTAATGGCTTGAAACGGTGAACAATTCATGCCGTATGTGACATTGGTTAATTTTTAAACTGAGAGTGGATCTTGATTATTTTCTCTCCAGAGTATCAACTGATCGTTTGGGTGAACTTTAATCTGTACTTTATAAAATTCATTAATATGTCATGTACATCAGTTTGAAGCTTGGACCAGGGAGTAATATATCATTGAGAGAGATGTTGTTACTTGTTCGACAGGATGCGTCAAAAACAATACCAAGTTTGGTTGAGCTTTGACGACTCCGTCATAAGGCAGGAAAAAATGTGGACAATTTAATGGGGGTTTGACATCACATTTTGTCATGTGGCCAGAGGTGTTGTAATCTTTCATGAAATCAGTGTATTTTTCATTAAATTTAGGTTAAGAGGAGAATTTCCTTTCAAGAGATGCCATTCTGGATTTGGCAGGGATCAAAGAATCACCTAATACCTCACTATTAGGCTTGAATGGTAGTCTTACTACATAACACCCAACTGGATCACTGGAATGAGTCTTACCAAAATGATTTACACAGTAAGAGTCATCGTCAGAAAGCTTTGAATGCTGTGGAGGTTCTTCTAGCTGCCAAAATCGCTGCAAAGAGCTGTGAAGATCGAAATCACTTATTGTTGACAAGTTGTTGGTTGGGTGGTTTTCACTGCGGCAGGGTGTTTTACCGGTACCCATGATTGTAAAACCAAATACGGTACGTACAACTTTTGGTAAATTATCACCAATGGTGTGTATCTCGCCAGTGAAAATGTTGGCAAAAAGTTCACATCCTAGAAGAATATCAATGGGTCCAGTAACATTAAATGAGGGATCTGCTAGGCTAAAAGCTTGTGAATCCAAAATCAAATCTAGTTTGTTGTTGATATAAGCATTATCGGATACAATTTTGTTAACAATTTCAAGTAGGTAAATTCAAAATACTTGACCTAAGTTCTTCGACATCGTCTCCTTCTCAACTACTTTTTAGTTTGCATTAAGGTCCGAACTCAAAGAGCTTATAACTTATAGGTCAATAAGTAATAGACTACACTTAACTTATTAGGTAATTTACCTGTTTTAGGTAGGCCTAATCAACATATGATGCAACACTGAGAACTCTTGATCAACAGGTAGGCCTAATGCAACTTGAGACCACCTGTAAAGAAAATTCTGTGAATAGCTTTTAAGGGTACCGGTACTTAGGAACATAAAGGAAATGATTTATTAAAAGCAATACAAAGTTAGCCTACATGCAATTTTGTCTGTAGCCTAAACCGTGTTTTGAAACTAAGCTCAGAGGTAGGCCTAGCCTATGTTAACTTACTTGAAGATTGACTTTTAACTCCAAAGCCTTTATTTAAATCGCAACAGGTGCGGATTGAAATATGTAAAGGTTGATTAATTTGTGAGATCACCATTATATAATATGATGGTACCGTAGGGCCTAGGCCTACTGTAAGTAATATCTTTGACTTCTGTGGGGTTGAACAAGAACGAAACAAAATTTTCTGTAACTTAGGTCCACATAACTTACTTATGATAAATAATACGTCTAGGCCTACACACAACCACCAATAATCCACAACCACAAAATTGGACTGACCAAACTGTTGACCTATCAGTGCTAGAGGAAAGATAATGCTTAAAATCCAGCTAAAAGTTACCTATGTAAAGTAGCGTTAAAATGGTTCTTTTCAGAGTTTTTGAGAATTTTAGTTGTTACTGCAAATTTACGGGCCCAGCTAAAATTACCTATGTAGCTAAAATTTAAATTACCGAACCGAGGTAAGATAATTAAAACTAAACAAGGCGATTGGCGAAAGCGTAAGTTAACTAAACATAAACAAACAACGACCTGAAAAGAGCCTGATTGATCATTGATAGAGAGAAAAAATATTGCTTCAAAATTCAAATCAAAATTGGATTTGTCTGACTGATCGCACTGAACTGAAGCCTACAAGAAGAAATAGGGGTGTTTACTCAAGGGAGTTATAGATGAGCATACGATGACGGTTGAGTTGTGGGAAAAAGTTAGGGCCCTTTCACACGAGGCCACTGGTGGCGGCCACCGGTGTCCGCCACCAGTTACCAACCGGGAAACTGCAGTGGATGATACAGGCAACTTACAAGCCACTTCACTACAGCCACTGTACAATGGCAGTTGCTGTGAGAATGCTGTCGAACAATGAACATCTCCTTCTCGCGTTGATAATAAAGAAAATAAGGCAAAGACACAGTCGTACTATACCAAATTGCCGGTTACTTTTCAATTTCGCAAATTAGATCTTCAGTATCCACTTTGTCTTATATTATTTTGTTTATTCTCTTATTCTGTTGTTTTCCTTTGTCTTTTTCTTTTTCAGCAACGTCCTCTTTATTTTTCTTCCGATCACTCATTTTTACAAACAAACAATTCAACACGAAAACACTCAACAACTACCATAGTCGTAGCAGTATGCACGTGAACTGATTCAAAATAGTAGCTGCGTGTTCATCCACGGTGGCGGCCACTGGTTGCTACGTGTGAAAGCTCCCATTTAATTCAATGCCCCGCGACGAGTTGCCGCCACTGCAGTTGCCGGCGGTTGCCGACTAGCAGTTGCGCGAGGAGACACTGCTCGGCCACTGTGTAGTGGCGGGCAACTAGAGTGGCTGCGTGTGAAAGGTCGCATTTTAGGGCCTTTTCACACACGGCCACTGGTGGCCGCCACTGGTTGCCCGCAACAGCTTTAACATTATTTTAAATGGGACCTTTCACACGCAGCCACTGTAGTTGCCCGCCACTACAGAGTGGCCGAGCAGTGTCTCCTCGCGCAACTGCTAGTCGGCAACCGCCAGCAACTGCAGTGGCAGCAACTCGTCGCGTGGCATTGAATTAAATGGGAGCTTTCACACGTAGCAACCAGTGGCCGCCACCGTGGATGAGCGCGCAGCTACTATTTTGAATCAGTTCACGTGCAGACTGCAAAGACAAACGCACTATGGTAGTTGTTAAGTGTTTTCGTGTTGACTTGTTTGTTTGTGAAAATGAGTGATCAGAAGAAAAATAAAGAGGACGTTGCTGAAAAAGAAAAAGACAAAGAAAAACAACAAAATAAGAGAATAAACAAAATAATAGAAGACAAAGTGGATACTGAAGATCTAATTTGCGAAATTGAAAAGTAACCGGCAATTTGGTATAGTACGCCTGTGTCTTTGCCTTATTTTCTTTATTATCAACGCGAGAAGAGGGAGATGTTCATTGTTCAACAGCATTTTCACAACTACCATTGTACAGTGGCTGTAGTAGAGTGGATTGTAAGTTGCCTGTATCATCCACTGCAGTTTCCCGGCCGGTAACTGGTGGCGGACACCGGTGGCCGCCACCAGTGGCCTCGTGTGAAAGGGCCCTTAAATAATGTTAAAGCTGTGGCGGGCAACCAGTGGCGGCCACCGGTGGCGGCCACCAGTTTAGTTGTGGGCTTCTGATTAGCTGAGGAAAGGGAACGCCATTACCGCAACGATAGGGTGTAGAGCCAGCGGCCTCGGTGGTCTAACGCCTCTTTCACACGAAGCGGCGCGCGCCGGACAGGCGAGCACTCCTGAATATTTATTTTATTATTTATTATTATTATTACAGCACGTTTTTAGTTTAGAAATCCAAACATTGAACGAAATGGGAAACGCTGCACCCGCTGATTGTAGTTGTAATATCTCTTGAGTGCTACCAACTTATTTTTAAGCGTACACGGATTACGTGCATAATAAAAACACGCTGTTTTGTGGTTTTTTTTAATCTAGGAGTGCGGCAAAAAAATGGTGGAGCAGGACAATGGCTTTGCTGACCCTCCCAACCCTCCCGAGTAAATCTCATTAACCACGCCTCAGTGAATACTTAAAAGCTCAAATGAATAGGATAATTTAAAATATTCGACATATCTGAAAATATTGTATTATAGAAGTCGCAAAAAAGTGTCATTGCGTATAAATTAGTAATTTAATACTAAATATTCTCATCTAGTTATTAAATGAAAACGTTTGTTTTAATACTTGAAGTTGGCCGATTTGCACGGGATGAACATAAAAATATATGTTTTGTAATAACTTTAAATACATTATTTTCTGATACAACGATGTATAATTTCTTTATAACTGTTGCACCCTCTTGGTCAGGTAGTTTGCCTAAATTGAGACAGCGTAGGTGTTGGGCCGTGCGGCTCGCGCCGCACCGTGTGAAAGCTCCCATAAGAACCAATAGAGCCCTTCACCGAGTTGTCCAGCGTGGACACCGCGCGGAGCTGTTGTCCGGCTGAAGGTGCATCCGGCGGTAACTCGCGCGCCGGACATAGTGTGAAAGGACTCATATACTCCCATAGCCCTACGCCGGATCCGGCGGGCACCGCACGGCGCGCGCCGCGTCGTGTGAAAGAGGCGTAATGGATAGTGTGCCGGGCGGATAAACCACGATAATCTGAAGGTACCAGGTTCAAATCCCACCGTTAGCACTAACTTTTTGTCTAAGATTTTTTCATTATCAGCAAGTTTGGTTAGGTTATGACAGTTTAATTTTATAATTAAAACATTATCAAATTGAATTTGAGCCATTTTCTAGTTTTATTTTGTGAACAGAACTATTTTCTTTCGATTAGTAAACCTTCATTCGATTTTTTCATTATCATCAATTTTTGTTTAGGTGATGACAGCTTAATTTTATAATTAAAAATAATAAAATTGAATTTAAAGCATTCATAGTTTTATTTTATGAACAGAACTATTTTTTTCGATTAGTAAACCTTCATTATAGATAACCAAAGTGCGGGTCGAGTTCTGGCAAGGCTCAAGGGACGCTCCGTGACATAGCCTCGACGTCACGATTTCATGACGTTCACACTTTCCAGTTCCACCCCATGTCCATTTTAGTGGTTTTAATTAGTTTAGTGGTTTCAAAACGAAGTCGAGTGCGGGATTACCATATGAGACCGGTAAAGGAGTTCAATAAATGAGTTAAATTTAATTCATTTATATGAATTGAATTGAAGTTGAGTGTGGGATTATCATATGAGACCGGTAAAGGAGTTCAATAAATGAGTTTTTGAGTTTAACACATTTTGGACGAGTGACGTACGATATTTTACGCCATACTACTCTAAGCTAACTTAACCACAAAATCTGTACAGATCCTTACGTTTTCGATTCCCACCGACTTAAGGCCCTACAAAGGAAAGAATCGTTGGGCCTTTGTTGGATTTAAGTACAAAACATTCTAAAATGCATTTTAACAAATTGATTTATTTATAAGAACATAAATGCTATGACAGCAGAATATAAGACGATTTTAGAGAAAATTGGATCTGTCAGAGATAATGTTGTGATAGTTGTGGTACTAGATACAGTGGTAGAACACCTGCTTAAAATATAATTCATCATATTTTTTGTTTAATTAATATTCTTTAACTTATATGAGCACATGTTTAAGATCAATCAATTAAGGGAAAAGATCAATTAATCATATAACAATCAATTATAATAACATTACTAATCTAATGGTAATTAAATAATCTATATTCAAATACCAGTATCTTCTCCAACTCACAGAAAAGCAATTTAACTACTTGATGCCTAAACTGATTAACAGAATCATTATACTGTAGTATCAAACATATTTCAAGTAAGTATTGCGACCATTGCAACCGTCGGCTGCTCTTATAACACTTGAAAACTCACAATTTCAACAATCACAGATAGCTCAGAGGTAAGGCACCAGGCTTATATGTCAAAGGTCATGGGTTCAAGACCCATCTGGGGCAAAATAATTTTGTTCTAGTTTTTTTTTAAATTTTGCTTTTATGACCTATTTAATCACTTTACTCAACTGATAATAATGATTTTCATACTAAATCTTTATTATTTTGTGTTTTAGCGAATTTCCCTATAGGGAAGTAGCTATTACCGTAGGTCTCATGGTAAGACCTAAGCCCGGGACCGATTTACTTTTTCATTTTGATGTCCCCAGAGGCCAAAAACACCATTCGTTCAAATTTTTATATATCTATATATAGAGATATATATATATATATATATGTGTGTCCATCCGCACGACAACTTGAGTAATTTTTGTCCGATTTTGATCAAATTTGGTTTGAAGGTGTAAGGCGGGATAAACTTGAATGAGTTCGCGAACCAGCATGATCGGACTATGGGAACGGGTGTTTATGGGGGGTTTTATGGGGTAAAAATAGGTTTTTCCCATTTTTGACCATAAAAACACAAAATTTCACAATTTCTTTTTAAACCATTTTGTAGAGCTTAAAAAAACAAATAATTTAGTATATTGAAGCGTTATAACGCGCCTAACTATTACGGAGAAAATTCAAAAAAATTGTAATTTTAAATTCCCATGTTATTCTTATGGAGAACTAGCTGTGTACCCGTTCTACGCACGGGGATCTTATAATATTCAGTTGAAACCTTCTTATATAACGAACAGCAGTTGGTTTGCATATTTTAAGATATGCTGGCCAAACTATTATACATAGCTTCATTTTATGTTGTTTTTTGTTGTTCCGGATCGGTATGACAATCAATAAAAGGTTAAATTACCTCTGTGTCTGCCGGTCGATCCTATAACGGTAGGCTTACTTTTATTTTTACTATCTGATCTCGTTTGCATGGCTCAATCACGTCCTGGTTGAAGTTCGTTCGCTACGCTCACTCACCTGTATGTTGGAGCTCGTTCGCTGCGCTCACTTTCCTTCAGGTTAGCTCGTTCGCTACGCTCACTTGCCTTCAGGTTAGCTCGTTCGCTACGCTCACTCGCCTCCAGGTTGCAAATTAGCTGTTGTCATAAATGTAAAAGAAATAATAGTGCTAGTGCTGCACCCTGTTGGTAATCCTTGTAACTTTAATG